ACGATGCGACGCCGATAGCGCAGTTGAGATTATGTTGAGGGGGAGAAATTACAACGAAAACAACGACTTTTCAAGATGAGTCGGTCACTAATATCATCCGTGTGTGGTTGAGGACAACCAACCTTAAATAATTCAGATCGCCCCCCCTTCACCACCCCTTAACATAACCATTCCAGGGATTTGTTTTTTTCTAAATTAAAGGCAACAGCGATTGCCTTGTCAAAAGCCTGCTAGAAAGCAGAGGCAGCAAGGCAATTACGACAAGGCCCAGTTTATTTGTACAGCAATGGCTCAACTTAAACACATTCGCTCATACATTCTCTCAAGCTGTGGATTAAATTTCCGGATGTAAATGACTACAAATGCTGTGATTATAAGCAGGCCTCAAAGGTCAGCCAAGCATGGAAGGGTCAGTTATTTATTTTTTAATTCGTACTTTTTTTCGTTACGTTCCTCAGGACGTCTCTGAACGCGCTGCCGCAAGCGCCGAAGCTGTTAACCGAAATGCAGGAGAAATGTCGGAACTTTGCACGCATTTTTGATTCCTATCTCAGTGTGGTAAACGGTTGTTTAAAATCTGCTGATTTTGCCGTGGCGAGATATTAACTCCCTCACCTTGTATGCGGGAGGTTGCGGGTTCGATCGCGACCCTGACGCCTGCTGTATATTTGGAGGTTGCGTGTGTCTTTCTCCCTGAGCTCGCGTGGATTTATCACCGGGTCCTCCGTTTTTCTTCCGTCCACATTTTAGAATTAACATCACGCGATCATTGGGCTATCATGTGGTCAGGTTGCTTCTGAAAAGGAGCTATATAGCGCAGCAGGCCTTACCTGGTGAAATAAAAATAGTTTAGTTTACAGGGCTTGGACCATTTATAATGATTTCGTGGTTTAAGCTGCAATTAAGTTGTTCCCACTACTTTTAAATTAGTCGTTAATGACTATGTAACCCAGGGCAACTGACAATCCTGCCCTCCGCTCTGAAGAAGGCCCATTGCCCGAAACATCAACCTGCCATAAATGTCCTGTGAAACACTGCCAGAGTAGAGGTAAACATTTGTAATTGTTTTAAAAAATTTGGAAAAAGTGAATATTTTTGATAAATAAGAACCAGTATCATAATATTGGTACAGATATTGAACTGTATGTGGCTTAAGCAGTAGACTAAAGCAAATCGGCTCATGAATATTTAATAAACAGTTAAACTTGAACTAAGAAACAATGGCAGTTGCGCGATGCAGACGAGAATATAACTATGGTGGGATATTCGAAGCTCAGAAGGAGACACATTTTCGTATGGATATCAAAGACGGCTCCTCGTTTTAACTGAAATCATTGAAATCTGCTAAATAAAGGACAGCAATGGAACCGCCTTCTGCACAGAGAGAGAGAAAACCAAACCACACGTACCTTGGAAACTCACGAGACTTAATTTAAAAATAAAAATAATTCCCGGCCACTCGGGACCTGCCACAAGTGAAGTTTTGCCCAAAACAGGAAGCCGGTCATCTATAAATTGCCGTCTCCACAAACAAGTGGCGCACTGAGAAGCGAGGCCATCTGTGCACGCACGTGGAGACAGTGATTAATACGGCACGGCTCTCCGGTCCATCCCTTCCATTTCCTCTCCTTAAACAAACTCGCCCATTCACCAAAGCGCGTCCCCCCCAACACGAGAGTCGAACATGGAAAAGCACCAATTATGGTGTAGAATAACACAAAATGGAGCCGACGGATAAATAAATGGACAAGTTTGTCACGGCGCATTTGCGCCCGAATGAGGTGGGGGGGGGGGAGGCCTGGAAAACAAAACTCGCAGCGCGATGTGTCACGCTTTCTCCGGCCCACTTACCGAACGACAGCCGATGGAATCTAGTCACCAAGATTACAGGGGGGGGGGGGGGGGCGTGAGGTTAAACATCACGCTCTCGCAGCCCCCGCGCTGTTATTCCAAAGTGTGGGTTTCTCCTAATTTCAACTCCCGAAAGCGCCCGCTGCAGTGGTGCGTGGCGAAAGCTGCAGATCGGAGATGCTCATCCATAACAATTGGTGAAAAACATACTAAATAATGAAACAATTAAAAGCTCTTTTACAAATCCACTGTTTCGGATGAAGGGCCTCCCTCACCGCCGTGTCAATCATGGTGGTTGTTTGACCATACTTGAGCACGTTGGTCAGCGACAGTTTGTGAGGAATGGGCTCAGAATCGTATCGGATCTCACTCGCCACTCATGTTGGCCGTGGCCAGCGAATAAAACCAATGCCCCCTGGGGTTCGTGGTGAAACACGACGAACCGCTGCACCATCACTCCACTCGAAAAAAAAATCTGAATTATTAATATGCAAATTAGGAGTCATCATATTGAATGGCAAGGACTGATTGGCCGTGTCGGGTGGTGGAGGGTTGTGACACATTTGTAATAACGCGATCTAAGACAAATAAAACCTTGATAATGAATAATCGCCAGAAGGGATGATGGCCGATGGAAGAGACTGGTCAGAGTGGAAGCCAAAGAAGAACTGGCGCACAAGACGATGATCCCTGTGGTGGAGACGGAACAAACGGGATCGGCTCCTGTGTAAGGGTCACGGCGACGCAAATCCACGTGGGATGGCGACAGAGTGGGGGAGGCCTTCATCCAGCAGTGGACAGACTACGACCGATGAGGGTGATGATGAATATTATTAGCTAACTATACTTGCGAAATGCTGGCAAAAGTTCATGGTAAAATTCAGATTTGGACCACAGATTGTGCGAAAACATACCTAAAACAAACACTTATTCTCGATACATTACGCAATATTCTTGGATCTTTCGGTAAAGTCACAGCGTCCTAATGAAAACAGTGTTGACTAGGATGCTGTCTTTCCAACAGCTCTGTTCTTCATCTGAGGACGGCTGCTTGTGTTGTGGCCGAAACGTCGTGAGAATTTTATTATGTTTTATTTTTATTATTTTATCTACGTGACTTTACCGAAATATCCAAGAATATGAATCCCTGCAGTCACGAAAGCTTTAAATCGAAACATTACACAATATTTGTCATGTATATTTATATACTTTGGTCTTCTCTCAAAGTTGTTCCTCGTGCACTATCGGCACCAAGTGATGAGATGGAGAATCTAAATATCGGGAAATCTCCCAGAGCAGGGAATCTCACCGTATTTTGTGAGAACAGCTGCACAGGAGATTATTTATAAACCTACTTCCTAAAACATTCCATTTGTAATTCTCACAGCCAGCAGTGCATCACCCTGTGTCAGAGACGGTGCCGTAGAAGACGACATCACGAACTACCTCCAAGGTCACTTGAGTTGGTTGATTTAAGCACACTCGGGGACAAGCCTTGAAAAATGTCCTGCAAAGAGTTTCCGTCGCATTTGTAAATGCTCCAAGATGGAATTTTCTTAATGTTAATGTATTCTTCTTTTGCTAAGCAGTCACCAGTGACCAGGCTGAGACCATCAACCTGCCGCAGTTGAGTCACCGGTTTAATCACCGGCGCCTGCCGGGATTGGAACCCCGGCATGTCAGCGGTGCCGGCTCAGTTTCCCGGACCTCCTGTGCCACCCGGCCACCTCCCTCCTATTATTCAACAATTAAGCGAAGACGTGGAGACTAATGACGAACTTCGTCAACGACCAACTGACATGTCACACGAAGATTTTACATGTTAAGAGCGCGACGAAAAAAACGATACTATATATACAAAGATCCCTCCTATAGCCTGTACAGACTGTTGGGGAAAGCGCTCTTAGCGAAAACCCATGAAGGCCGGAACGGCATACGAGGGGGTAGGTGGCCTTGGTCTCCCAAGTGGCGATGTGTACACACCATTTGAGGCAGAATCGACCTAGGGGAGGTCCAGGACCGGTTCAGATATTTGTCAATGGTGTTCGCCGTCGGCAGCCATCGGACTCTGGTCGCCGGGTTTGTAGCGTAGCGCACTAACCGCTACGCTACCGCTCCCCGCACACATACACCCTCCAAGCATTTTAAACACTGATTTATCTAGAAAGCTAAAACGTACAGAATAACTAATGCTGCGAGTCACACGGCCGGTTTTTAATGCAAGTTGAAATATTGTCTTAAAAAAAAAAAAAAAGCACGGTAAACCAAGTTGAAATAAAATGTTATGGGCTCTTGCTTTTCCGTGCCGTGCATGACGCCGTCAATTTCTAGCCCCAATTACGGCCGCACATTTGAAAGTTATTAGCGCGGGACATGTACACGCCGGCACGTGGTTCCTATTACGTGTCACGGTCTGCCACGAGCCCTTTAGGCTTTTTATTTTTCTCGTTCAGAAACCCAAATAAAGGAGCCGCAATGAAAGCTGAAGCGGTGGCGTGCGATTACAAAACCGACCTTCTCAGTCAGTCGCGGCTCTCTCGCGGGCGCTCCCTCTCTGTGCACCCCTCCACGTATCTTCTGCGGCGAGAAATACTGAAGGACTTGGAGCAACAGACACCACAGCAAACGGCCGAATGGGGCTATGAATGACGCGGAGCTCTTTAGAGTCGGCGCTTCTCAATAGCGGTGCGAGGAATCACCCCCTGCGCCATCCGGCGAGCCGTCACGACACAATTCAATTATCGATTATTTTTATTTTATTTTCACGAGGTGAACGCAGCGGCCTCTGGCGGCCGGTGGTGGCTCATGTGACCTCATTGCACCCGACACGCCATCTCACGCGCGGGATTTGGAGCACGTATCCCCGGACTGAGCTGGACATCTGTGCGAAGGAGCGCTTCATAGTACATGGGACTCCTCTAGGATAAAGACGGATTCTGAAACTGTCGGCTTTGATGCAGTCTCCCACACGGATTGAGGGGGAGTGGGGGAAGTGGACGAGCGAAGATCGCACCTCCGACTCAGATGGCTACGTACGGTGCAAAAAAAGTTGCACGTGCAGGCATACATCACAGGAGCGGTAACAGCGATGGAAGAGTGACAAGGAGGTGACTGCGTGCGTGTGTGCGGTTGTGGCCCGCGCCTCTCACCGGCTGTACTGGTCCCCGAGCAGCGCGCAGCTCTCGCGAAACGCGGTCGCAAACTCGGCAGCAGACGCCTCGGTCCAGCCGGGGCCTCCGGCGAGGGCGGCCGCCCGCAGCAGGAGGTGGCCCTCGCACAGAAGGTGCAAGCCGCGACTCCGGGCAGGTGCTCTCATACTGCTGCCCGTACTCCACCTGCACGCACGCACGCAGACGACGACGACAAAGATCCTCCTCCCCCCACCCGGTGGAGCCTGAACAGACTGTTGGGGACAAGCGCTGTTAAGAGAGCAGCACCTATGAAGGCCCGGGCACGTGGTATAGGCAGGGGTGGGTGGCCAGCACCATGCCCGAACGCCTTTGTCTCCCCCACCGCTTATGATCACACACTGCACCGGTCGCTCTTTGAAGTCATAAACAAGACAATGATAAAAACAACGACGACGATGATGATAATGATGCGAATGAGCCGACCTTGGTCAGGATGTGAACTCTAATCTCAAAACGCGGGCGCTCCGCTCACGTTCCACACGATCTACGGCCCAGCCACGTCACGTTGCAACGGTTCGGCAACGTAAAACATCCTTTATATCGCAACGGGCCCGTGAAACCCGAAACTCCATAAAACACAAGCGCTGGGGTTTTTATGACGTACTTCCAACAATGATAAGAGCAGCGCGCGCTCCTTCCCTCCGTACGCTCGACAGGTTAAGAAGTCCCTGTTATGGACCAAGACGTGGAGGGGGTGGCCAGGGAGGGGGTGGCCAGGGAGGGGGGGGGGTCCATATTTGGGCCACGCTGCCACAGGGCACTAATTGGCACTTTGAGGGATGTTCTATCAATGCCAGGACGAGCCCAGCACCCCCAACTGGGTCACACGGCCTGGGCCATTCCAGCTGGCCCATTCACAGTGATCATAAAGAGCCAACGCTACCATCTCATTGTAGAGCTGTATCAGCGGGGTGAGGTGCAGGGCGTAGAGATTCCAGCCCGTGTTATTATCCCCTGCGCCCCCGTCTGGCCTCATCTTCGGCCTGTCAATCAAACCAAAATACAAACACACGCACGGGGAGCGGGAGGGGGGGGACAGGGGGAGGGGCGTGGGTGAGATGGCGGGTTGGCAGCGGGGTGCAATGAGCAGACCGCACTTGAGCAGCTACGGCGCGAGCTCTCTCTGAGTGTGCGCGCGCATTACGTACACACGCGTGTGTTCACGTGTTAACAGACGTGCAATGGACTTGATGTACAAGTCTTCCAACAGACTGCCATTAATGTGTCCGATCCCGTCAGATCTCGCAAGATACGCAGGCATGAGGGACATGGATATTCGTATTATTTTTTTTTTTTTACCAAGCCCACTGAGTTATATAACTCTTTTTCAGAAGCAATCTGGCCACAAATGACAGCTCAACGGAGTGGCTTAACATGTGGAAATTTAAGGCAGCCACATACTCATACGATGGCAGAAGACCTGCCTGCAAATGCCAGGCGATGTATGCTTGCGTTTGAAAGTGGCGCCGAGACAGCAGCCAAGCAATGGATTCTTAAATTCATCTGTGCGGAGCTTTGAGTGTTACGACCCTCGTGTAGAGAGGTCCATTCCTCCGAGTACGCCGGTTTTACTCCCACATGCCAATCACTCATCAATGGCGTACACCAAACTTGCCAATGTCGGCCCAGTGAGGCTCTCTTGATCAAACTAAGGGTATTAGCATTGTAATTTATTATTTAATTGCGTACCAAGACAGAATATTATTTAGTGTTCAATAGATGATTGAAGGTGTAGGTACAGGGGGCACTAATATATCAATCGAGTAATCGATTGAATTAATAGTGATGTCATGGTTTTCTAAAGAATCAATTTTTTTTTACCATCCGAAATTTCACATCTAGCTCCTGATTTTGGGTCTATGCCAAAAAAAAAACTGGGAGCACATCCCTAATATATAAAAAAACACCATTTCGCACCACAACTTTGTTATTAAACATTATTTGTTGATGCTGCTGTTGCAGCTGCATTGGCAGTGGTGCACAAGCACAATGAACAAACTCAAAGCACACGTTTCATCAGTAACACAAAGCCTGCGTGTTAAACTAACACGTTATATGACGTTTAAAGAAGGTGACAGGGCCTTCTTCACAGCACATGCACATACCTTATTACAGACCAATTCAGACCGTATTGGTCACCCCGTGCCCCTTATTAATCTCAACGTTCATCCGACAAAGTCCCCATCACGAAGGAGAAACAAAACAGACAGACCATTTTTTGTTGTTGCCCGTACGCCGTATGGACCCTGAAAACTAAATTTCCCTTAACAGGAATACGGGGTAAACCGCATGGGTTGACGGGTATGCATGCATGGGCATTTCAACTTTATTGTTATCGGTGTTTTGCAGGAACCACGGGCATCCCTGCGCTCTCACGTGGGACGTGTTGCCCAGGGTGCAGCTCTGCTGCCCCCGTGCGGTCACTGCCTGCGAGTGCAGACACCGACACAACACGGGACGCACGCACGCGCTCCCGTAACGGCGACTTCTCAGCGGCCGTCAAAGAGCGACGCAGCCACCCGCCCCAGACGCATCTCTTATCTCCACATGTGCTAGGTTTTTCGCAGTCGATGTTCCGATTCACAGTCGCGCGAAGACCTGCACCGAGTGTTCGTCGGGAGAGGTACTGCATGGGAGGCATGGTTTCATCGTAAACGGTGACGATTCACAGAGCTGTCCTCAGCCAGGTGGCTTGGCCAAAGGGTGAGCGACTGATAGGTGGAAGGTTGCGAGTCCAATTTCTGGTTGGGAGGGTGGGGGGGGTTAACTCATCCTATCATCCCTCCGGGGTCAATAAAATGAGTACAACTCTGTGAGAAAGTTAACAGCAGTTGTGCTATGAGTTTAATAGACCCACCCCCACCACAGCAATGTGGAATTTCCACCAGCGGCTCGGCAGGGGTCTGTAAACAGAGGAGACGATCATCCGTCGGCGCCCGACGGCCGTACGTGAGAGCGGTAAAAGCAACGATCGCCCCCCCCGCCCCTCCTCACCGCTGCGGCCGTCTGGGTGTCCTGGTGCCTCTGAGGCCGGCGCGTGTGAACAGGATGGCGTGGTCACGTGACACGCACACGCGCTGCAGCCCGATGAAGTGCTGCATGCGCAGCGAGCACACCTCCAGGCTGGGCGGCGGACAGGCCTGGCGGGGGAGACAGACAGCGAGGCAGACGGGCGGCCCAGAACACAATCAGCTGGCCTCCTGTCAGGCAGAGAGGAGCAGCCCTTGCAATTGCTTGCTCGAGTGCAATGCGACTCGTGCCAAGGCAGAAATATATTTGTTAAACTTTTTACATCGTTTGACCCGAATTTAAACAATTATCTTTTCATTCGGGTCAAAGGATTCTCTTACATATTTTATACATGTGTAAGATAAAAAATATTTTTTGGTAAAAAGAAATATATATAATTCAGGCCAAGAGTAATTCGCGCAGGTACCCACCGATTAACGCAACACAAGCCTCTTGTTTCAAATGTTCAGTTATTTATACGATCGCAGAAAATCCACAGATGAAACTGCTACTTGTTTGAACAGAGGCAAATAAGACAGCCTAGCATCTATCGCAGAAGCATATATCGCAGTAATACATCCAGAGATCCTTTCCAGTGACCACTTATCGACATCAGGCTGGCGAAGTTCTTTTCTACACGCCTTGTTAAATGAGAAATGTTCGTCACATCGTGGCCGAACAAATATTTTTCAATTTTCAGTCATCAAATTTTGTCAAATAAACCGACTTTCGTTTCATTTGCAAGACCTAAAAATCTTGCCAAAAGTAAGTGAAACATGAATGTGATGAGCGCAGTTAGTGGTGATCGGGCTGAGTCTCTCGACCTGCTGCACTTGCAATTCTGGTTTAACCCTTTACCCATTCCGATGACGTACGTGCATGTATGTCATCAGAACGGAATCGCATACGTACGTCATTGGAACGAAATCGGGAAAACTAAAATAAAAACTAAAATAAAACAACTTGATCGGAACCGAGGCTCCCACAAGGCTATGCGGGAGGGCGTGTGGCACAGTTTGGCGACAGCTTTATAGAGTGCGGTCGTGTCGCTACGGTTCTCTGCGGTGAGTACAATGTCTTTAAAAAGCAACGGCGCTACGCCTCTCTGAATCAAATTAATGCCGAGCCGCTTGCGGGTTCCGAGATCCGGCAGCAAAAGGGACGCCCGCCACCCTGCAAATTGTAGACGTCTCAGAACAGGAAAGGGTTAAATCGCGCACGTGTGCTGCATCCAGTGTGTGAAGAGTTAAGGGCTGTACCTTTCTCTCTCCGTCTACTTCGGGGTCCGACCTTCTGGTTGCCAGGGTCACACTGTGAACAGTGTAGCATTCCAGGTTCTCTCTGAAAAGACAAAATTAAAAGATACATTTTTAATTCTCTGTCCCGCTCGTGCCCGCTCAAAGCGCACACACACTGCAAATATGCCACACACACTGCAAAGTGTGTGTGGCATATTTAAACACGCAAGCTTCCGCGACCAATGTTACGATGGGCAAATCTATTCGTGGGTCAGATTGCGGAAGTAAAATGTGTGTCGTACACCCTCCTCCACCCGACAGCCAATTAATAAAGTTGTCGCCAGACCAAACGTGGCCAACGTATTACTGCTTCAGCAGCGCCACTGGTGTGGTGTTGGAGAGCAATCTACACACACACGCGTTGTGCAATCTGCTTCGACGTTTTTCTGGTAGTTACAACTAGCATCATCAGGCAGTTATGCAAGATTCAAATTCACCCTGCTGGTGGAGGATTTACGACAGGAATATTTTACTTGCGCGCTTTGATCCAAAAAACTATTGTGAATGTTTACAGTATTTTTAAAACGTAAAACTATCGATTAGAATCATTTACAAAAGCACCCCGAGTTCTGACAACCACCGAGCTAATAAATAACCTGTGGAAATACATTCACAGCTGTAAACGATTTGGAGTGAAGCTGCTGGGTGTAATAAGTGCGCCCACTGGACTTGCAATCCAGATTTAAATATTTGGAGATGCTGCTGCAGATTCGTCAATAACACTTGTGTTCTTAAAAGGAAAAGTATATAATGGGAGGTTTTTTTTGCAATCCAGAGGCCGTTGGTTCAACTCCATCTCCCGGCGAGGCAGTTTAAATAACGAGGACAAACATTTAAATCCCTCCCACCCCTCCCACGCCACTATCCACCCAACAGTACGAGTGGCTATAACCCAGTTGATTAGAAAGTCACGTGTGGTTGGGTAAAGTGTGGTTACTGCCACCTCTTCCAAGACGTCTGGCCAACGTGGAAGAGTAGGCCAAGCATACCCTCTCTAAGTGGGGCTCCATCAAGTTCCTTTCGAGAGGAGAACTTTGGCCAGCAGTGAAGTGAGTAATGCAATTGCAGGGCTGTAATTTTACCAACTTTAGACTCAAGTGTTGAGTCAAACGACAATTTTTAGCGAGCACCTATTAAGCCCGGCAAGATGCAAAAGTGGCTGGGGGGAATGGTCAGAACCACACATGGCCACCTTATTCTCTAATTTAAGGCTGAACCGACCTAGCAGAGGCCCAGGACAGGTTCAGACTCGACTCGCCACGTCTCCGGAAACCTCGCCCATCACGCAAGATCGACGCAACGGGGTGGTCAAATTATTTTTTCGCATCCACAAAAAAACCCATTTCGGGGCAGTAAAAACAAAACGTTGGGCATATTTGTGAAGCACCCCCAACCCACCCGCCCCCCCCCCCCAATCAAACTGCGGACAACGGCTGGAGAGCTGCCAAAGCCGATGGAGATCGGTTGGTTGCACCCCTCCAGCTAAAATGAGACGGGCGTTCCGTGAACCGCTATTTCTCCGCACAAAGGCTCTGCCGGTTGTCTCACGAGAGCCCCGAAACGAGCCCCCACTGCTCTCCCGAGTCACCCGTTGCGCCTGGAATGCAGAGTTAGCGGTGCTGCCGCTGCAGCGGCGTTTTTTTTACTTCGAGCAAAGCAAATACGCAAGGAATTTTATCCTAATGCGAGTTAGTCAGCAGTATAAACGAGTCTAGCATGTGTAGGGCCACGAAACGATATTATTGGATGGCGCTGTATATTGAATGACGTTTGATCGATCGACAGGTCGTGGCGTCGTGTGGTAAAGGCATCTATGGCCGGCGTGAATCGATTCTTGAATCGAACAGTGACCCCACCGCCCCCCCCCGCATCATACCAGCCACGTGAGATTGTTTGACCTTACTTGCCCACGCCTGTCAACGCGGGTTGGTGAACAGGAGGACCAGGGACCGGTTTCGATATCACTCGCGACCGACATTAGCCATGCCGGGGGAGTCGAACGCAGGTCGTCCAACATGCCGAGTAACATACAAATTGAAGTGTGCCCTCCAGTGAGAAAAGTTGTCACCGGCACCGATGTTGTCTGACATACGAGCGGGACACCGCTCACTGGGAAAGTAGCTCTCCGAACAGACATTTCTCTTTCATCCAATTTCTCAATACCGATGACACGGCGCCGGGCCCTGGCGGCCATGCCGCGCACGTGGCTGGTAAACGCCGCACTGTGGTGGACGGCGAGGGTTGGCGGATCACGCAAATCCCGACCGGTGGGCGTCGAGGACGCCATCTCCTAGTCTGCCCGGGTATGGCAGCATAGCAAGTGGATCAATTGCCATCTGCACTCCATCTGTACGAGGGATTTGTTTTCTCTGGGTACTTTGACATTCCTTCCACGAGCATCAACACTTACGAAAGGGGGTTGGTTAAACATCCCAATATAGAACCTCAGAGCTTGGGCAATTGTCAGCGCCGCTTCTGGCTGCCTTCCCGCTTTGTCTGTGGTTTCCCGTGCCTCTGAATCTCTCTCTCTCTCCGGGACCGAACGAATCCTGCGAGCGTTACACGTTCCGATTCGTTAAAATTACTATTAATATCTCGCTGGGAGGGGGAACTAAAAATACTCGGTAATAAAAACCGACAAACAACATCAACAACAACGCCGTCGACGACAACGAAACGCGGCCACGGAACGTGCTCGATATTCTCCCCCTCGGCCGTCATCGCCTTCACAGAACTAACGGACAGGCATCACCCCCCCCCCCCCCCCCCCCCCCCGGTAATAGTGAGGTTGCCCAGACAACCTGGAAATATTAGACGTGGTGGGGAACGCCCAGCGAGTGGTGCCACGCCGTTGTGATGGTGATGGATGTGCCGATTTGCGCGCGTTCCCGCGAGAGTCTCGGGTCACGAGTGCAATAAGCAGCTGAGAAGGGGGGGGGGAAACTAATGTGTATTGATTTCGCATGTTTGGAAGGCAGGTCCACCACGGGCCGAACTCCCCAACAACTCTGCTCCCCCGCCCCTCTCAATCTAGTCCGCACCCCCCCACCCAGACCGCCAAGCCGCTGCTGGATCGTATTTATAGCAGGGCAGAGACTGTCGAATGCACGTATGCATGCAGAGCTTCAAATCGCACCGTACGCAGCCAACCGTGCTACATCGGAGATGCGGGGGAACGTGCAGAGTGGTCCAGGTAGCAGAGCTGCAGCGCGGTATGAAAGAAGGCGCAATCAATAACCAAAGGGTTCTCTCTATCCCCCAGCCATCCGTGCTGGCGACTCTTTGTAGATTGTTCAAGTCCAGGCTCACTGCGTTCCTTTTTCCCTGCCCGCTCCAGCAACCAAGGCTTTGCCGCTTGCGTCCTCGGTCAAACTTTGCTCAGTGGGAAGTCGCTCATTCTCATCTGCTGCCCCCCCCCACCACTGGAGTCTGGAATTAGTCTCTTCCTTCATCTGTCGACTCGCTGCGAATGTTCACAACCACGTTCTGAAGGCCCTCTTTTTTTTTTCTTTGCCTATGACCTGACTGTCCGATTAATATAAACACAGCTACTATTTCCCCACGCTACGTAAATTTAAATCATCGTATTTGTGGTTCATTTTATTGTTACCGATAATCGAATGGAAATTAATGCTAAATAAGTAATACATATTTTTGGTTTGCCAAACGCATGCGGTTCGTTCGAATGAGCCACACGTCACACCGTACTTAGCCAACCGTGCTAATAATAATAATAGCTTCCGCTTGTACGGCGCTTTTCATCCGTAGATCCCAAACGAAGCATCGTGCGCGGTTTTACCGCGTGACGACGTAGAGGAGGTGGGTCCCAAGCGCGGCCTGCAGGGACACGGCCGAGTACTGGTAGCGCGAGACGAGCCTCGCGCCGTCCAGCACGTCGTAGAGGAAGCCCTCGCGCGACTGGCTGAAGAAGCAGCTGAGGGCGGCCATCTGACGCTCGCCGCCCAGCGGCGCCTTCGTCCGCGCCTCGTGCCAGTCTGCCGGCGCGGAGAGACAAAAAACGCGGTCCAGCTCGGGACAGGGTCGGGGCATCGATCTCGGAAGCCAAGCGGGAGGAGGAAGGGGGGGGCGGCCAAGTGCTGCTTCATCCGCGCCTCGAACCGGTCTACGGCGCAGGGAGAGAGACGCGGTCACGCTCGGGACAGGGTCGGGGCCGAGCCTGGCTTTGTCCGCGCCGATTTCGCGTGCGGAAAACGCGAAGTGACAAGTTCAAGACGACTGGGTGACACTGTTCTCGGAAGCCGAGCGAAGCTGAGCCTGATTTTACCTCCTGGCCGATCTGTGTGGAGCGTTGAGCACTACCCCCCCACCCCCAGCTCGTACATGCCTGTTTCCTAGAATCTTCCTAAAAGCCAAAGTCTCTAAGACTCAGCACGACTTTCCAGGCCAAGCAGAGGGCGGTAGCACTACTTTGTTTGACGGCGTAGGCCTGTAACCCGTCAATTTAGAGAGGGGGTAGGTGGATCGTGAAGCGATCACAGCATGTGCGCGAAAAAAACACATGACACTCGACAAACAGTGGCCAATCGATGGCAGCACATCAAACCCACGATGAACTTTGAGAGCCCGATGTTGATCACCGGTCAGTCTGGTGACTCCCCCCCCGTATACAAGCGCGAGTGCATATGTGTGTGCGCGCGCGTTTAAATGCAGGGAGCAACCCGGCTTACTATGCACGTAGATGGGGACGAGCTGCAGAGAGTGGAGGAGATCTTCCCTTGCTCCCTGGGGGGACAAGCTGGGCACGAACTTCCTACGCACGGACGTATGGCGAAGGGCAGAGCGCACGCAAAACCACGTGGGTGAAATGCACACGGGCATGCTCGGCATAACAACAACAAGGATATACAATGTACATGTGTAAACACAGTGTGGGTGTGTGAGAGAGGATGGACAAAAAAACTTTCAATTTTATGTTTATAAATGTCTATGATTTGTATAATAAAAATATACAGGTGTGACCTACCTTTGCAGAATTTGATATTAAACATAAAAGCGGTGAGCTAGTGTGGAATATTTAGGCTCACTTTCAATTGACCACCAGTCATGATTTTGGGGTTCAGCATCAAGTGTTTGCAACGATTGTGTTAGCCTAATTAGAGCATTTGCACGGACCATATACAAATCACTTCCTATACGCACACGTCGATTCACGCATTGGTCAGCGGAAGAATCCATTTCACGCCTGACCACAATCGCCATCATCGGAGTGAACAAACAAGCACCACGTGGCTTTTTGGACATCCGACGTTTTGCTCCTCACGCCAAGAGTTTTTTGGTTTAGTAAAGAAAAAAACACAAACTCTGTGAAAAAAAATAGCGGGGCACGACCGCGAATAGCCAGCGACAACAGCGCAGCACCTGTAGAGGATGGAGGAGAAATGCAGGGAGTTGCCCAGGTTGTGCATGAGGGTTGGCATGCCGGCCCACTCCACTTGGAAGGGGGCCTCGGGCAGCTGGGTGCAACGGTAGGGAACCTCGCGCGAGCCGATTGCCGTGCCGGGCGTAGACGCGGCTGCGAGGAGACCGACCGATGCCGAGACAGTGAGAGAAAGGGGACACCGGCAAGGGCTTCAACTTTGAACACCGCAGCTTCACTTTGACACGCGTGTCGGCAATTTTGCCAGTCGAGGATTATGAGCAATCCTCGTCCAGTGCTGATCGTGGTAACGAGTCAAGACTGCACTAAAACTTACTAGCATGACGTACCGTTTATACAAAATTATACCTCGAACATATGGGAAGATGCTGGAAAATTCATGGTTTTTTTTGTCTAGTAGTCACACCCACGTCCCAAGATGAAACCATAAAACGAACCCTATTGGGCTAATATTGGGAACAAACACAAAATGCATTGCTATGGAGCATTATGGGCGAATAAGCAGTGCTCCGTTTGCACTTCCATAAAAAACATTAAAACGTGCTTTTGTCCGTTGTCCTACCGGCTGCCCAGCCCAATACGATCCAGCAGCCCACGTTCAATCTTGAACGCGGTGCGAGTGTAAGAAGACATTTTAAAATCGACGGACCAACACGTCACTACGTGCCCAATGATTTCGTGTATACAGGTAGCCGCTTGGCCTCCAACCAGTTAGTCACCATCTCACACCGGCCGAATTCGGGACCTCACTCACGTCTCGCCGAGGGACTGCCGTCTTGGCGAAGGCCCTTGCCGGCAAAGGCCCCCATGTCCACTTGCAGGACCTGGATGTCGATCTCCGAGCGGAAGGCCAGGTAGTTCTCGCACAGGGCCACCTCCAGCGGCGAGAATGCGACCGTGAGCATGGCGAATCGTTCAAAGTCGACGAGGTTCTGCGGAACGGCAGCAGCAACACAACAGTGCTCGGTCGCTTGGACCACACTTCACCACTCTGGTTCAGCGAGGGTCGGTGAAGGGGGGGGATGGAGGGGGCCCACTTACAGACGTGCACGGAGCTCGCCCATTCTGCGAGCTACCCTATCGAGCTCGTAACAGCAAGCGAACAAAACAAACATTCAACGGACGCTCTGCATGCACAAGGCGATTGGTTGCGCTCACTGGTTAATCTTGGAAACTACATTGTGTACGATCAACGAGTTTATAGAGGTCTTTAATATCGTTTTAGGTTACCACGTAGGTTTAAACATTATCGTAGTTTCTTTTACATTGGCCGATTCACGCGTGATAATTCACCAATGACTCTCACGTACAATATCATTTCACACGTTTACAAAATCACCTCGCACACCTCCCTTGCACATTGGCACGTACCCCCAGGGGTTCGCCTACCCCCCCAGGGGTTCAGAACTATTCAAGTGGATCTTCAAGTTACCTCCCTGCTACGAGCATGGCAATTCTCAGAGCACTCTCGCCCCTTCCCACATTCGGAACACTCGCAAACGGCACCGACCGCTGAACTAAACCAACTAAACGAACCAACTTAACCGCTCGCTCGCCAACTCTTACCGGGTCGTCGGTGCCGTCGGAGGACTCGTGCTCCGAGCCGGACTCGTCCGTTTCCGAGCTGGCGCCGTGCGTCGGCAGCTTGCGCTGGACATGGGCAACGCGGCAGAACAGACCGAGGCGCTTGCCTGCCGCTCCCACCAGGAGGTTGCCGGTGGTCGGACAGCACGCCAGGCACAACGGCTGCTCCTGCACGAAACAATTCCCAACAGGAGGAAACTTCACAAAATCCGACGGTCGTTGTACTGTGCCGACTCACAGAGGTGACTCTGGGTGTGGTTGTTGTGTATTGTGTGCGGGGAGCGGTGGCGGAGAGGGTTAGAGCGCTGCGCTACGAACGCGGCGAGCCGAGTTTGATTCCCACTCACGGCCAACATCGGGCTACAATTTTGGCAGAGTAATCTTTAGTAGAATTCAAGGCTGAGGTGCAGGAAAAACAATGATATACGGAGAGGAGCTGGAATATTGGGGGGGGGGGGGGCAAACCACAGAATTTTGAAAGGCAAGAAGGGGACACGTCTTATGCTAAGCATTCATTCTACGCTCACTTCAAAGCGACGCAGTTTTCTAATTCACGGGGACTTTGTTTGAATTCACAATTACGCGTGAACCGCTGCCGTGACCTCGGAGTCAAAAAAATCGAAATCCTTCAACTGCCGCCACATCTCGCGACCGCGGCTCTGCGCGGCTCTGCGACGCGCTGGGACACGGTTGCTCCACCTGCATGCTGATCTCGATGACGTGGGTGGCCGACTCGTGCGCGGGCGACCTCTGGGCCCCGTGCTTCTGCCGCGACAGCGCGTGGCCGGCCATGCGCACGCGGTACCGCGGCGTCGCCGCCGCCGCCGCCTGGCCGACTGGCGTCACGCCGGCAAAGTCGTCGCCGTTTGGTGGCCGGGGCCCGGCGGCGGACGTGCCGGCTCTGTTGGCGTGCTGCGGCGAGGTTTGGCGCCAGTTGACGTACACTCGCACCGTCGGCGGGCTCCTCTTGCTGTTCTCGATCGTGGCCACGTAGTCGCCTGCAAGGGAAACGCGTGCCCCCAGTTCTGTACGCGCGGGCTTTCACGGCCGACGTGCTATTTCGCAGTTAGTTTATTTTGGGCGAGATCGCCGTGTAGGTATATAAAGTCATTTTCTAAAATATAACCAATCAACCACCCTCCGATTAGCACGGCTGGCTATGTACGGTGCCAAGTTCAACATACATACACATAATGAAAGAGCCAAATAAATTATAGCGTTAAAATATGCCAAATCAAATGGCACACATGCCCACGTGACGAATTTATTTGAGCGGCTCTCCAGTGGTGTCGGGTTATTAATGTACACCTCCACGATCTAACCCCAAACAACCTAATACTGGTAGGAACCTCCTGGTTACACCACGCCACAGGGGATTATTGTGTCCGTCGTGCAGGGAGGGGCTGGGTGGGGAGGGAGGGGCTGGGTGGGGCTGGGTGGGAGGGGTGGGGCTGGGTGGGGAGGGGCTGGTCACCCCGTGGTGCACTTGTAAAACTCAACGTTTAACCTACTCACGCCGGCTTGTGCCCGCCCTCACAGTCGGGCATATTTGCGGAATACACCATGCCGCCGTTGACCCTGGCTATTGACCGAGCAACCCAAGGTTCCTACCAGCTCGCTCCGCAGGAATGTGTTAATGAATCGTTATATCGGTCGTACGTGTGTCTCTATGGGTTTAATACAGGGTCCACGGTTTGCGTGGCCACAATCGCACTTTTGTGTCTTTAATCCGCTCGGGTTGGTGAAGAGGGGGTGCCAGCCAATGACCAGTTCACATGCGAGCCGTGCAAGGTGACTGAACTTCAAAATGCGGTGTGCACGGAGGTATTCAAAGTAAATGCCTCCATATAATCATTGTCAAGCGAAACCTTTTTCGACACGTGATGCTCTTTACGTGGGAAGGGGCGGAACAACGGGAAGGAGGAGGAGGGGGGGGATGATCACTCCGAGGAGGTGAGCGTGGCGAGGGAGACTTGTGCGTTAACAAGATTCGCCGATAAGTCTGGAATTTTGTTTACGGTTTCGTAGCGGAGGTGTTCCAGCGCGGAGAGACGGTCGGGGATATTTACCCAGCGGGAGCTGAGGGCGCATCACGTGCCTGCAATCAACCCTGCCCTAAGTAGCAAGTCCCACGCTTGCTTCACGATGTTTTTCACGACTTGTCACCACCTTGTCCTTAAGAAACCCGCCACTATGGTGACTTATCCCCAACTACAAAACACCAACTCACACACTCGGACTTCCCCTTTCTGCGGTCGAAAATAAACTGTGCAGTGCATGTAATCTGTTGTTCTTTAAGGAGTTTCAATATGTATCACTGCTGAGACTTCCCCACGGGGCTCTAAAAACAGCCGCAATTTTTACTGTACATACATTTACTGTACCGCGCTCGTTTATGGTTTTTGGAGAGAGCACAAAGCCGCTTGCCAACAGTTGAAGTTGCCGTCGGGTTCAAAGAAGAGCTAAACTTACACTGCACACTCTCCAACGCGGATGGGAAAACCTACGCAGTATCAGAACCTCAACGGGAAATAAAGCTCGCGAAAACATACCGCGTTGGGGCAGTGGTGACGCAGGTGGTACCGCAATGCGCTGTTAATCTGACGACCTCAGTTCGTACCTTGACCGTGGCAGCTAACATCGGTGGCGAGCGATATCTGAACTATTCCGGAGCCCACCGTTTGCCAGTCCGCACCGATTCACTTAAATGAATTATGGTCGAACTACCGTGGACGATACGACATTAGGAGGCTTCTATCCAGCAGCGGATTGACAACGCGCTGCAATAAATATCATTGTTATAGGAAACTGTTAAACATGCTAGATTTGTCTGCTGTTCAAGAGGGTGGATTTCATGTGAAAAGGCTATGAGATTAAACATTGTCACAAGTGATGAACTGCACACATTATACTGAATTCACAAAATAGATAATTAGCGTCACTGCGGAGAATATGAATAGCAAAATAAATCGCCATTGCGGTTGAAGGGAAGTTTATTTTTTATTTATTTTTATGGTGGAGGAAAGTATGTCCATTTATTTAGTTAAATACTGAGAATACATGAAACAACCCTGCATCTCTTATGCAGAGTTAATTATCAACTAGATTTATGTTCCTCCACCGTGAGCAAGTCTCTTTGATGTTTATGTTCTCAAAGCTGACTATGCCAATTAGATATATGCTAAAACCTTAAACAGCCATTCAAAATGTATCTTTTAGAACTTCGCATGAACGGATCCCCACTTGAAATGGCACAAATCTAACAACCTTCAAAAGGCACAATTATCCCCTTTTGCCTTTCAAACTCAACTATAGTTTCCCGATTGTGCAGCCGGCGGCGTTGTGAGACGAGGGACCCAATCGGATCTCTTGCAAGCCCTGCGTGATGAAGAACGGCTCTCCCCAAGGAGGAGTGCAACTCCCAGAACAAAAAGCAGCATCCCGCCGTGAGTAATGTCCGTGGCATGACAGTCGATTCAAACCGAGATTTGTTTAATTTACAGAGCTGTAATTTAGCCAAAATGAAGTGTCAAAACAACGTTTACGTGATGGGGGTTACCCCCCCCCCCCCTCCCTGTGCATTCATTCATAACAGACTCACCACACGTGATCAACTGGTCTAAATCACGTGCAAACTGCCTGGATTTGAACCCATGATCTCAACGGGGGGGGGGGGGTTCCGGCGCTCTGACTCGGCGCATGTCACACGCGGTTTTCCCCTAGATGTGACCGCAGGTCGGGAGAGTAACAAGCAGAGGCCGTGTGTGTGTGTTCAGTGCAACGCAATGGGACACTATTTTTAGGAAGTGGAAAACCCGCAGGCAGAGGCGGGAAAAATGCACAATTTTAACACCAGCAGAGAAGTCTTACTGCTTGCAACAATGCGCAATGGACACATTTGTGCAGCTGCGTTGGTCCTCATGATGAGAATATTTGATGGTAGAAATGCGATGGCTAGTGGCTAGTATAACGAAGTGTAAGTCACAACCCCCTGTTGCTCATCCATTGCTGGACGAAGGCCTCCTTCCCCCCATGGCTTCGTCAGTCATGGGAGTCATCTTCTTGGTTCTTTCGGTAAAGTCACGTAGAATGGAAATAATAAAATAAAAAAATTAAACATAATAAAGTAACTCTCACGACGTTTCGGCTGCTTGCGTTGTGGCCGAAACGTCGTGAGAAATATTTTATTATGTTTCATTTGTATTATTTTATTATTTCCATTCTACGTGATTTTACCGAAAGAACCAAGAAGATGAATCCCTGCAGTCACGAAAGCTTTAAATCGAAAAAAGTCATGGGAGTCGTTTGATCATGCTTTGCCACGATGGGCATTGCCAATGACCAAATGACTGCCAGTCACATGGCACCGTAGAGTTTCGCCGGGGGGGGGGGGGGGGGGGGGAGGGGAGTGCTAGGCCCGTACCGGTCTCGCTGTAGGCCATGGCGGTGACACAGTCTCCCGCGGCCGGGAAGGGCCTCAGGGCACGGGCGGTGGGGCCGAGCTGCACGGGCAGCAGCAGGGCCCTGGTGGCGGCGAGCGCCAGCACGGTGCGCGAGCCGCTCGCCAGCAGCGACGGCTCCTCGCACACAGGCAGCACTTCCTGCCCGCAGAACGGGTGGCAGCCGTACACGCGCACCATGGCCACAGTCTGCTCTCGAAGAGAGACGAAACAACGATGACAACGACGATTAGCGAAGACGACGAGAGTAAATGACAACATTGGCGACAGCTGACAAGTTGAGTTTGTTCAATCAGGTGAGGACTCAAGAGATGAGGAAGTCTCGTTTGGACGAGTGACCTGGAAATAACGAAACGAGACGCGTCAAACACGGTCAGCAAACCTCCATCAACGTGTCCACGTCTATCACCAGGCTCACCACCACCACAACCACCACCATAATCACTTCCACCACTCACGCTCCACCACCACGCTCACCTGCACCCAGAGGTGGATCTAGAAACTTCCCAGGTGGGCAAGGGAGGGGAGATTCCAAAATGCCAAAGTTTGTAAGAGGACCCAATATTACAAAACACACATTTATAACCTTTACTACAGCCTGCACCTCCCCCCCCGCCTTTGGTTCTCAATCTTTAAAACATTTATAATCTTAATACATACATGCAGAGGGTATGATGCAACAAAGTAGTTGTACTGACGTGCCAGTGCTTAATTTGTGTTTCGAGGCATCTCGCAGCCCCTTGTCTGGCTAAATGCAAAATGTGAATAGCTGGGGACCAGCTAACCGGGTTTTACTGGATCAATTTGGATGTCAATGCCTCCACCACCTGCTCACCTCCACAACCAATATTATTTATACCTCCACGACCAGGTTAAGTTTCACCAGCAGTCTCCCACTCACCTCCATCAGCAGAATCCCACTCTCACCTCCACGAGCAGCCTCCCACTCACAGCTCCACCAGCAGCCTCCCACTCTCAGCTCCATCAGCAGACTCCCACTCACAGCTCCACCAGCAGAATCCCACTCTCACCTCCACGAGCAGCCTCCCACTCTCACCTCCACCAGCAGCCTCCCACTCTCAGCTCCACCAGCAGACTCCCACTCTCAGCTCCACCAGCAGCCTCCCACTCTCACCTCCACCAGCAGCCTCCCAATCACCTCCACCTGCAGCCTCCCACTCTCAGCTCCACCAGCAGCCTCCCACTCTCAGCTCCACCAGCAGCCTCCCACTCTCAGCTCCACCAGCAGCCTCCCACTCTCAGCTCCCACCTTCAGCTCACGAGCAAGACTCCCACTCTCACCTCCACCGACTCCCAATATCAGCTCCACCAGCAGCCTCCCTCTCTAACCTACCGCAGCTCCCACTCCACCACCACCAGGCAGACTCCCATCGCACCTCCCACAGCAGCCTCCCCTTCACCTCCACCAGCAGCCTCCCACTCAGCTCCACAGCAGCCTTCCCACTCTCAGCCTCACCCCCCCCCCCAGCAGCCTACCCACTTACACCTCCACAAGCAGCCTCCCACTCTCAGCCTCCCACCCGCAGCCTCCCACTCTCAACTACACCAGGCAGCCTCCCACCCTCACCTCCACCAGCAGCCTCCCACTCTCACCTCCACGAGCAGCCTCCCACTCTCAGCTCCACCAGCAGCCTCCCTCTCTCACCTCCACCAGCAGCCTCCCACTCTCACCTCCACCAGCAGACTCCCACTCTCACCTCCACCAGCAGCCTCCCACTCTCACCTCCACCAGCAGCCTCCCACTCAGCTCCACCAGCAGCCTCCCACTCTCACCTCCACCAGCAGACTCCCACTCTCACCTCCACCAGCAGCCTCCCACTCTCACCTCCACCAGCAGCCTCCCACTCTCACCTCCACCAGCAGCCTCCCACTCTCACCTCCACCAGCAGCCTCCCACTCTCAGCTCCACGAGCAGTCGCTGGTCGCTGCAGCCCCCAGGCGGTGCCCGGCTTCTCGCTGTGCGCGATGCGCAAGGCGCGGCTGTACACGCCGGGTGGGCCTCGCACCGGAGTAAGGAGAGTGGTAGGAGAGTGGGTGGGGAGAGTAAGAGGAGAGTGAGTGGGGAGAGTGGGTAGGGAGTCAGTGGGGAGAGTAAGAGGAGAGTGAGTGGAGAGAGTGAGTGGGGAGAGTGGGACTCATCCACTCACTTCCGCGAGTCTGCGCTCAGCTCCTCCCACACAGCAGCAGCGCTCCAGTGACGTCACGAGGCCCTTCCCACTCGCCCAGCGGAGTGGTGCCCATCATCGATACTTCGAGTTCAAGTTAATTTATTGGGTATAGCCCTGTGAGCCATTCGGCTCTTGAATCGGGTGCAACCGCAACAAACAAAAAACAAAAACATGAACAAGAAAACATCTTAAAGTGAATATGTGACCAAGTGCAAGCAGAAAATCCAAGAAAAGACAGCAGAATATTGCAGAATAAACACCGTACACCCACGCTGTGTGCAAAAATCCCAGTGAACTATTCAATTAATTATAAAACAAAGAACAATAACCCTCTTTCGTAGCAATGAGCATTACCTAATAATAGTAACAATAATTAGCTATGCAAGAGTGATCTCAATCGCAATGCAATGATTCATGATGTAAAACACCGCAGCATTGCAACGTTGTTGTAAGTGAATGTTACGTTAGTTTTACACACGTGACGCCTTTCTGGCACAAAGCTCCATCATCACATTTTAAACACAGATGCAAAATAACATTAGAAAGAGTCTAAGCAATCCGAAATAAAAATGCACTGTTTATTTTTTTTACAATCGAATATAACGCGATGCAAATATATAAAGACAACGTTGTGATGATACCACGCACTACGTAAGCGGTGGGCAGAAGCACAAATATCGATACGACTCAACAATGAATTCGTGAATGGCTGCCATGAAGATGAATATTTATTCACAACAGTAAAGCAACGCTTCTGGCAATAGCTCGTCTTGACAGCGCTGCTTTTGGACTAATTAAACCCCCAGGGCTTGGAATTTGGAGGTCTAACCGCTGCCTTTTGTTATCCTGATAATAAACAAAGTGGTTAAACTGGCTTATGTGTGAATAGCCTTACATCGGGACAATAGGGGAATGATTAAGCAGAGCAATGGCATTAGCTCATAGCCTCCCCTGCGTGCCGCCACTGGTGTATGGCCCATATTGTGCACGGGGGGAGGGGGGGGTCACGTGCTCGGCATGAACAATGTTAACGATTTATTTGTCTAACTGATGGAAATTTAGGTACAGATAAACAAATGCAATGATGAATATTACAATTATAAAGATATATATTTCCATATTTATTTTAAATTCACCTGTAAACTATGAAAGTTATTATTTGAAAATACAAATATAAATCAGAAAAATCTGAAAATCTAATATCGCAATAAAACGAAAACGTAATACATTACTCATCTCGAGTGTATATATGGAGTAGAATATATATTCAGACGCATATTATTTCCCCGCATGTGACAAATTGTAAAAAAAAAAAAACATGTACAAATGTATTTCTGATTGCAGACTTTTGAAGCTGTACAAGTTACTTGTAATTTATTCCACGCAAATGAAACACGTGGGTTTGTGAGTATGAATGTCGAGCTTCTTTCGCACCCTACTTTGCCAACCATGCTCGGAGTCGCGGCGGAATGACAAAAAACTAAACACAAAAAGCAACTCTAAAGAAATTACTTTTCAATTTCGACATAAACTGAAGTGGGTTTGGTGAAGCAATATACTCTTTGAAAGAACAAACCATGCAAAAGCCAAAACATATTAAAATATTTGGTATGCATTTCCCACAATTTGCTTCTTGCAGAATCTAATCTCCTGTTGGACTCGGCGAAAAGAAGAAGCGACAGTTCTTGTGATGAAATTTCAGTGCTCTTCATTTTACTTTCAGGAAGATGAAATTCACAATGAAAATATCCTAATCCAGCTGTCACTTCCCCGATGCGTAACAAAACTGTGTTCCAGATTATTCTAAATGAATTACAAACTTTGCTTGGGAAAATGCAAAGGTGCAGGGCTGCTGTGGCTTGCTGATTCCATTGTTGGCAGAAGCGCCTCGACTCGACGGACCATGAGAGCCCCCCCCCCCCACCCCCAAGACGGTATTTGGCCTACTCTTCCACGCTGGCCACACACGACCAGTAGAGGCCTCTCTGTGCCTCAATCATATATTTTTGTAGGGTTCTCTCTTTGGGATTTTGGGCTTCATATGAGAGAAACCCAAGCGTTGCACAACATGAAATGGGCACCCCGCGCAAATTATTTCTCTTTCAAGCAAGTGTCAGTCGGGTTTGTTTGTAAGGTCCCTATTTGCTAAAGGTTTCAGCAAACACGTGTATTTACACGGGCAGTCAGTCTAGATTCCCGGTCAGTGGGTGGCTGGCGTGGTTTCTGAGTAGCGACCTTATTTGGTAGACCAGCCATTTGGATAATGGAGGCCTGATGCAGACCTGCTCAGTGTGATGTAAATGTTCCAATTTATAGAGATTTAAAATGAATGTCTTGCCATAGATGTTGAGCCCATCTCTCCATTTTGGAATGTACAACATAGAGACAACTCTCGTGCATTAAGGGGTAAAACACTCAAAAAGTTCCACGCAGGTAGATTCAATAATTAATTCCTGTTCTAATGTACTGAAATTTCCCGGTGACCCCACAGCCCATTGAATTTGGGATTTTCGCACCAAACCTTGCCTCCAGGAAATCCTCACTGAGTCTCAATATTTGTTTCATTTGTCTGGCCCTGAGATGGTTGGCCAATTTGAATGGCATGTGAGATGAAACCAAAGTACTGCGAGAAAACCCCAACACAAAAGAGACATACCACTCAAGGGTCTGAACAGGTGGGTTCACAACCAATTTGCTGTCATGCCATCTGCCAACCTCAGATTGCAAGCGGGTTTACACGTCTCCTGAACCAGCATTATCCACCAACCCTTGCATCCAAAGTTCTGGGTCACAGGCAGAGGTGTGGACTCGAGTCATGTGACTTGGACTCGAGTCAGACTCGAGTCATGAATTTGATGACTTCAGACTCGACTTGGACTTGCATAACAATGACTTTGTCCCACCTCTGAGGTGTGGACTCGAGTCATGTGACTTGGGCTCGAGTCAGACTCGAGTCATGAATTTGATGACTTCAGACTCGACTTGGACTTGCATAACAATGACTTTGTCCCACCTCTGGTCACAGGCATGTGCCACCATGACCCAACTGTGCCACCCTGCTTCATTTCACCTGCGACAATGCCCCATTGTACACCAGTGTCATCATCAGCATCATCAGCAGCAGCAGTAGTAGCCATGTTCAACCCACTTCTGCATGAAGTCCTCCCGCAAGCCACCACCATCTCTCGCGAGGCCAGCGTCGTGGGCCCACCATGAGTGCGCTCATCTCCACTAACTTTCAAGTGTCACACTGTTCCACAACTGTGACAGGAGACAAGACGTTTTGCGAGCAGGGTATAGGTGTGCTGAGCAGGATGGAGAGAGAACAACGGGTGCAAACTGACAGGTCAACTCGCCCTGCGCACAGCGAGGCACGTATTACGCTAACCTCTATAACACATTGAAGGCGGAGTAGTAATAGCCCTCAGTTCCACAGAATCATAATAATACTCACATTATTATCTTTTTAACAAAGCTACACAAACGCTGAGGCGGGCACGAGACGGTGGGGTGTGCATTTAAACGTCAGCGACACTGCGTTAATTATTCGTTTTTAAGTACACGCTAACTTTAAACATTTACGACATATTGAAAAGGGAAGAGATACAATGGGTAATGTTGACGTGACATGTCTATCACCCGGGTGTTGGAAAGCGCTGTGCACGAACACACTTTTTTTTTAAACCAGTAACAGCAGAGTTCTAGTAGAATTATTTATTTCGATTTAAAGCTTTCGTGACTGCAGGGATTCATCTTCTTGGTTATTTCGGTAAAGTCACGTAGAAGGGAAATAATAAAATAATAAAAATAATAAAATAATTCTCACGACGTGTCGGCCACAACGCAAGCAGCCGTCCTCAGGTGAAGAACAGATCTGTCGGGGAGACAGCGTC